TTTTTTTTTTTTTTTTTTTTTTTTCTATCTCCGACCACGTAATAAATTTGGCAACAAATTGCGAGAAGCACAGCTTGCCTGCCTTTCTCGGTGGCGCGCGGTAACTTTCGAAGAGGCAGAGGAAGAGGAGGGACGGGATGAGCCGTTGGCCACGGTTTAACCGGCACGTAAGAGGCAGACGTTCCTCCTCGCCGCGATTAATGGGCGAACCGGCGCAGATGACGGCATTAATGGAGGAGTAAGTGTTCTAAACTGACTCGATTTTTGCCCCGGAGACTCGCCGCGCAACAACCTCGAGATCATTCCTTTAACCGGGCACGTAACCACCTTGGGGAAGATCGAACGACTTCTAACTCTCGTTTCTTCGCTCTTTTCCATCTTTTCTCTTTTCTCAATCTTTTCTTTTTTTTTCTTTTCCTTTTTTCCTCTTTCTTTTTTTTTTTTAGCGGCACCATTGGAAATCAGCGCGTAGAGAGACGCGCGTGTTCGATTAATCTCGAGGTAACGAGCAATCTCGAGGAGCGAGGTTTTCGTATAATCGATCAACGAAACGAAAGGGAGTACGTTAATTAGTCCCAGGGATGTACTGTATTATACTCGAAGAAATTGTTGTCGAGTCTCCGCACGCAGATTCTTCTACGCTTCTTCTTTTTATCGTGTCAAAATTGAGAAGCCTCGGTTTTTGTCGAAGAAGACCCTCGAAACGAAAGCTCGTTCCAATTCCAAAGAAAATCAGGAAGACTACTCGATAAAATCTTATTAAAATCTTTTCGAAAAAAGGAGGAATTTCGTGATAATTATAATTCTCGATTATTCGACCAAGATTTTAAAAACTTTCGCATCGAGCACACTTATTATTCCTAATATTCCAATACGTTTCTGCCTCTCTCGTACAAGGAACAACCCGCTTCCCTCGAATTCAATTCCGCGGGAAACGTTTAGCACGCGTCACGTGCACTCGGAGGATTCGAAACGGACAACGGCGAATACATACTTCGTTTCGGTATTCGTTGAATTCGTTCTTTCTTTTTCTTTTTTATCCCCCAAGCAAAGCGATTCGTTAAACTTATTAAGACCCTATTAACGTTACGTTCACCCTCTCCACACCGTATAATAATAAGCCACGTAACCCCGTTGTTCCGGGGCATAAGTCGATTGTAACGAAGTGCACGCGCTAAAAAGCTGCTCGTAAAACGGGGCGAAACAATAAGAAATCTCACGACGCGAGCATTGTTCTTCCCGGAATCCCTTTCCGCCGTAATTAGCAACGTGACCGAGCCCCCCTCCTCCCCCCCTTACTTCCATTGTTCCTTTTCATATCGCGGATGATTAATGTCGGCTAATCATAACGATCGATCTCAAACCTCCGGGGAGAGTACATTTAATTCCCTTGGACTCGAAACTCCCCCCTCTCGAGAACCTTGGGCCGCATGCACCTTGCTCTTTATCGACTTCCGCCTGTTCTCCTCCTCCGCTTTTTACGCGCCCCCTTCCAGATCTTCCTCCTCCTCCTCCTGCTCCTCGCCCGCAATCGCGTCACCGATTGTATCGCGAAACTTGTTTCACGACCTCATACGTTGAATTTCCGTGGATTTGATAATTCTTCTGACAATCTGACATTCTGGTGGAAATTCTGTTTTCTGTAAGAAATGGTATATGGAGTATGATGGAAAGAAGTAGAGAAGCATTTTTATTTATTTATTTTTGTAAGTTCTTCCAGTGGAAGGATACATTGAATGAGTGAATTTTGTAATTTTTATTAATTAATTAATCGCGCGTCTCGAGGGTAAATTCACATTCACATCGTTGGAGATAACGATGGAGTTGGATAGAATGTGGAATATTTGAAGTTTGGAATAATAGAATATCGGGAGATTGTGGCTTGGTGTAATAGAAATAGAAGCACGATCGCGTATATCCGTTTTAATTATTCGACTTGATCGTTGATTTAGATTTCTATTAATTCCGGGGGGAGGTTCCAACGCGAAAATCGAGGCAATTCGTTAAACGGTCGATTCCGTAATGCGCCAAAACCGATTTAATATCATCATCGATGAGTCGATTTCGCCGCGCTCGAATTAATCGATTCGAATAAATCAACAACGCGGATTTGCCAAGGTATCCAACGATCACGACTCGAAGCGTCCGATACCGACTTGGACCGATTTTTGGATGTACATGCTTTCTAATAAAGAATCACGAGAATAGTTCAATCGTTACCAAATCTGTATATATAAAAATTCCTCGAAGCTTGGCTCGAATTATTTAATTATTTTTTCGTTCAATCGATAAATATATCTCTCGACAACGAGAAAATTGCAAAGGGAGGAAAAAACGGGAGGAGTTTCATTTAACCGGAGAAATCGTGCGGGGAGGTGGTGGAGATGGGAAAGGAAGAAATAGATTTAAAAAGAAAAAGAGGGGCGATCGAGTACAAATTGCCCAGAATCGCGGCCCACCCCTCTCTTCCCCTCCCCGCCGTGTAATTGCATTTACGTAATTCGATTCTAAATCCTGGCAGCAGATTCACCGTCGTCGTAATTAATTCTCCTCCAACTAAATAGAGCATCGGGCATCGATCGGCCGCGTAACCGATCGTTATTACCGATCTCTGCATGTTACGCATACCGTGTTATTTATTGCCAATTAGGATTCTATCGTTCCTTACCCGCTTGCTTTCCAATGATCTGTCGTGTCTGTCGGGATGGCTGATCGCCGCCACGTAATTCCGCGACTTGGATAAAATCGAAACGGATTCGAAAGAGAATTTCTCTCTCCTCGAGTGGATTCTCTTCGTGAGAGAGGATACACGTACGCGCGGATTACCGTGAAATACATTGGTGTAGGCGACTATGCCTCGGATCAAAGCATAGAGTAACGCTTCCGTGCGATATTCTACCTTCTTTAAAATAAGGATCGAAGGAAGAGTGTGCTTTAAGGCACTTGGTTTAGACCCGCGTGTAAAGGAGGTATAATCGTTATTAGAAAAGAAAGAACTTCTAACTCGTAAGAAAAGTTTTGGAATGGGAATGCAAATTTCATTTCAGAGGGATTATTCTCTTTTTTAATTTTATTATTTAGACGATGGGTTACGTATGTATACCGCGCTGTAAAAAATTTATTGACCCGTATTGGTTTTTTCTCGAACTGATCTATATTCAATCGAGATTTTTCGAAGCATCGTTTAAAATATTTAAATTCGGCCAACAAAACGGCAGAAGCAATGAAAAAAAAAAAAGAAACAAAAAAAAATACCTTGCTTGATTTCGACCGTGTAAAATTGCAGGATAGGATCGAGGAAGGATAGGATTCTCTTCTGCTGCAATCTCGCTGCAAGCTCGCAGTTGGATCGATACACTTTGTATCAGTATGCTGCCAGGTTCAATCCTGGCGCAATTAATAAAGCGGCGTCGTTAATAAATAACACCGAGATCCGAGAAGGGTGGATGGATATCGCGGTGGCCGTGATTTCCTTGTCGTGTCTCGTCACGGGTACAACAGGCCGATCCGGGGAAGAAAAATGACGGCAACAAATTGAAATTCTGGACGGGAAAACGAGGCGTATAATGGCGTATCGCCTGTTTCCATCCACCGATATAACGAATTAATAAACGAAACGCGTATTTTCGATGGTGCAGTCGATCGGTCTGGTCGTTTGTACCCTGTTAAAAATAGTCGAGCAAGACGGAACCAGTGATGGGATCGAGCGTATCGCGAGCAAGTTCAAGAAAAGATTCGAACTTCTCTCGAACAAATGAAAAAAAAAATTCTTCGTTCGATCTTTGAATTTTCTTTCTCCTCTCGAAGATAACTATTTTTAATATACGATTCAATCGACGTTGTATCGGAAAATTATAATGGAAAAGTTGTAACAAAATTGTTTAAACGAATCCTTTTTTTATCGTGCTTCTATGTAACTTTTCAAAATTATTCGTAAGTAAATTATTCGATTATTACTTGTAAATACTTGATCATTGATCCCATCGCTGGTCGGAACACAGAAGGGCTTTATATAAAAACCAATTATACGCGGCAAACACGGTGAACCGAGAAATGCTTATTATCGTTGGTTGAAAAAAAACGGGTTAATTACCGAACCATCCCGACAAGATTACCCACGGATTCGTTCCATAAAATTTACAAAATTTCCCCTGCTACACGCCCATTCCCCCCACTCGAAGATATTTCGACGTTGGCGCGGCTAAAATATCAATAAAGCCAGAACGAATGGGCGAGAGGAAAAAATGAGGAAAGCGATGAAAACGGTGAAGCAACCGTGATAAAAGTGGACACATGTCTCTTCTCTTATTGCTTTCGACTATTCTTTTTTTTACTATCAGCCACCATTCCATCGTTGATCGTTAAATACGACTAATAAATCGCTTCCTTCGATGAAAAAGACGCTTCGTCGAACCAACTTTCTTCACCTTTCTTCGAATCGAATTCGAGTAACTGGAAGTTAAGAAGAAAGATCGATCCATCGATTCTCAGAAGAATAGCAAAATCGGTGCGAGTTTACGAGACTTGACCACTCTGCGATGTGAAACGAAATCGACGAATATAATTTATAATAAGAAGGGTACCGCAATCATCTATGAGAAGAGAGAGCGGCAGAAACGTTTACCAATAGCATGTTTCATGGGCCGCTAATGACACCATGAATATGTATACGCTCGTCGTGGGGTGGAACGAGAGCGAGAGTGGCCCTCTGTGTGTACACAGGGTGTCCTCTCTCGAAGAGGAGGAGAAAAATAGAGAGGCAAAGCTTTCTCCATCTCTCTCAATATAAAATAGAAAAAGAATCGACTATCATTCGTTTTATTTCGCGCTACCAAAAAATCACGTATCGTCACCTGGATAAATCGAATGTAATTGTTACGCGATAAATATTTATCCGAAGGCAATCGTAGATACGATTAGAACGATTTACCCGTGTAATAACGAGATGTATTCACGAGAAATTTGTTTCCCAGGAATAGCCAGGATTTAATCCTTGATACGTCTAGGACAAACAAGCCCAGGGGGGGTTGGGACGAACACCGTGGTAAGTCGCGAGCGGGCAAAAATTAGGGAGAAACCTCAAAGCGACCGCTGGCCAAAGAGCGAGTTTGGAACCGGAAGGGCTTCTCGAGTTGAAATTAAAGCGGGCCCGGAGCAAACGACACACCGTGTATAGACAGAGAGTCCGGGGAGATTAAGGGACGGGGGCATCGCTCGGAGCCACGGTCAGAAGGAGCTGAAGAGAATGACGAGGAAATGGGCGTGTCCTTTCTCCGCTGTAAAACAAACAAGACCCGTTAATGATGCGAGCTGCCTAGTTAGACGCAGGCCCGACACCGTACCCATAACACCGCTCCTTTGCATAGGAATTCGTTTCACGTCATTCACGTGCATTCTTAATACACCGCCCGAGGGGTTTCGGTTTATAGAGGCCGACAGAGTCCGCTCGCAACCTCGTCGCTATTCCTGGCCTGGTTATTAACTGGATTTCGCTCCTCCCGCGATCGAAGCTTTAGCGATTTTCTCCCTGGACGAGAATTATAATGTGCGTGTTCACAAGAAATGCCACGGGAATAAATCTCTTGTTGGGAGAGGGAAGTTCGTTAAATAAGAGAGATAGAAATTGTGGATTGTTCTTGGATATTCGATAAATTTGTTTTAAGAAACATTACGCATAAATTATTTCTCGAAAACTTTTTAAAATTATCTCGGTCGATTTATTATTTTTCGAAGATTATATAAGAGTAATGGTTTAAAAATTATTCGCAATAATCGCGACAGTTGAAGTAATTCGCAACACGTTTTCGCAATTTGCACGGTTATCACGGTACATAGCAGTATAAAAGGATGGAGAAGGGAACTCGATCAGCGAAGAAACTCGTACGGGCAAAATTCCGTGTATTTTCTGTAACAAACTGCTTTGCTATCTCGACTCGAAATCAATCGATGCGTACTCCAACTCGCCGAAGGCCTCGCCCAAGGTGGTACGGGCGTTTAACGGTTGGTTTCAACTCGACGTGGCTTCGTTGCCTCTCGATTCATCCACGACGCGTGTGCGCCTTCCACGGAAAGGTTCGTCGAGGACGTTTAATTTTTCTCGTGGTTTTCGAAAATTAAATAACACCCCCCCCCTCGATCAACAAGCCTCATCGAAGCCGTGGTCATAGAATTATTTTAACGGGTGGTGGCGAGAAGGCGGTGTCCGTGGGAGGCTAATAGACGCGGAAGTTGGCCGGGTGAATCGCGTCTCTCTGCCTGCGATCGTCAAACAATTGCGGTTCCCGTAACTAGTTTGCGTCTAATTACACCAATATCGCTGTGTAGATTACTACTATTGTTTGGCGTTCGCGTGGAACGCAATGTTCCTTCGTTTACTTTGCAAATGGTTATGGCCGTTGAAGATCGGGTAATGGGCCAGGATCTCAGAATTTATACCTGGCGGGGAGTAATCGGGAGTGTAATCCTCTCTTCCGAGGAATTCGACTTTATTATCGAATTATTAATAATACGATCGAGAAATATATTTATTTTTCCAAGTCACGATACGCGAAACCGGATTTCAATCACCGGAATTGGCGTTAAAATTTATTTTTTGCTTCGACAGAATAGCGTCATCATTGAATTAATAACTCTCTCGGAATATTTATCTTGCAAACGCATGCCGAGAATCTGTTTCTTTGGGTATTTCACTGTTAAGAAGGATTCATCATCAACGTGCTTGGAACGTAATTAATTTCTTCTAAAAAAAATATATATATATATATATTCCCTCGACGGGTGAAAGGATAAATAACGAGAACGAGGCTTCCACCAGGAAAACGTGTGCGGTTGAAATAATTTAAACGAGCCGTTCCAACGAGGAAGAAGCTCGTCAGGTGACCATGGGCACCGAATCACGTGGCGGCCGCAGTCGCGCCTATTTATTACCATAGTTTCTTATCGATTACCATATTCCCTCCATAAATTCCGATTACGAGAGCGTATCGTAAATCCTGGGAAAATTAAACCTGAGCGCACCTTCCAATTTATGTAATCGAGTGGTCGTTCACCAACCTCTTCTTAATATTCGCTGATAAGACGCCACCGATAACACGCTCGATCGCCAACGTATCATCGACGTTTCACGGCCGATCGACACGCCGGAACTTCGCTCCGTGTCCTCCTCCGATCGAGATTCGCAAATTAATTGTCGCGGATCGGACCCCGTTCGAGGCTGTCTTCAGGGGGAAGGGATCGCTTCCTATCCACGATATATCGCAGGATGGAATGCAATGGGAAGAGGAAGAGAAAAGAGAAAGATCGAGAGATTACTTTTAAAGGATATTATTAAAGTGATTTTTTCGAATTCTTATATTTAGAACCATCTTCCAATGATATTTAATATTTATTACTCAATCTCGCTCGAAGATTACTTTAATCGCTTATTTTTTTCACGAGGATAACATTTATATAACATGCTCGGTTATATATCCAAGAGATTTCTCTTTCCACGTGGCTAATACGCTTCTAAAAATTCGTAGCTATTAGCTTCGCGTGCATAATTAGTGCCAAGCAAAACAACAATTACTCCGGCGCAATTACCCACGAATGACGCACACATGTCGGGAGTGGCAAACTAAGTGCGAAACGAACATAGAGGGAGAGAGGAACGGGCACGAATCGAGACTCGTTAGTTACAGATTCGCGAAACTGGATTAACCGACTAATTGTCTTGGCAGAAATCTCTCTCGGCCTTCGGTCCAGCTCTCGGGTACACACGGCAGCGGGGGCAGTGCCCCGTTGTTGAACTCGAGCCGAACAAAGGCCGTCCAGAGGCGATCGTAATAATCCGAACTATGCGTTTCATTGGTCGTGTAAATTCGCCGTAACACCGTGTACCAACACCCTTCCATCCTCGCCCCTAATTGCGAGAACACCCCCGTCTTCTATTTAACTCTCGTTCCATCCCCGCGAATGGACAGAAACGGGTAAATCCTTCCGAGTTTTTTTATTTTATTTAAAAACGCGTGTCTTCGTGGCAAAAACGCGCGCATTTTTCCACCCTCGTTACCCCCTTGCCGATTATTTTCCACGATAAGTTTTGATGACGGGACGCCGTCACGTTTCGCCCACGCTGACGAGTGTATACGCACGAGGTTTAATGAGAACGACGGTTCCGGATTTCGTTGGTTTAAAATTAGTATTTTCTTTTTTTTTTTTTTTCGTTGTTTTCTCTCGTTTCTTTCTCTCCCTTCCTTCCTTGCGCTTGCGTTTTTATATAATACGCGAGACACGAGACGCGTGCTAGGGGATGTTTTTCGCGGAAATTTTGTATTCCCTTTGCGATTCCACCGCGATAATTTCAAAGTTCTTTCCGGGGTGGGGAAATTGCAAAGATAGGACTAATTAACCCGACGGTCAAAAACCTGACCTAATCTAATCTACCCCTCTAACCCTCGAAAGAATAAAAACTCGGGCTGGAATTCTTGGAAATTGGCTCGCGGATAAAGCCGGACTTTTTCTTTCTTTTTGATTCGTGAAATTTATCTACGCCGTTGTCTGATCGTTAGAAGGGAGGGGGAAGGAGAAGCTAGAAAAGGGTTGTTTAATGAGGCGCGCTGTAGTAGCCTCTCTCTCGATTTCTCTTAGGCCCATCACACCTCGTGGATCTCGATCCCGTTTTATGGAAGAGAGGCTAGCTCTCTCCCCTCCTTTTTTTGCCGCTCCTCTTCCTCCTCTTCTATTTTCGTTATCGCGGCACCAGGAACCGCTGTCAACGCTGACAAATTACGGCCGGACGCCTCGCCGCACTTTCCAAGAACGGATATTCATAAAACGACTTCGCCACACCCATCTTCCACCGATGGAATTTACGAATTACTTTTTCATCAACGGTCGTTTCCACTCTCGGACGACGATCTCCTCGGACGACAGATCCGTTCGCTTCTGTCTCGTCGGGACGAGCATGCGCCAATTGGACGGTGGAGGATCGATGTGCACGCGTGTCGTAACGAGGCATCGTGTCCCGAACGTGAGTGGCGGATCATTGATTGTTCAAAGGATCATCGTTTAGTATGCAGGATCCAGCCCTGTGGCAGCCAGCTAGAGGTGTATGTACATCTGCTTAAATCCGGCTTACCGATGTCGCACCCTCCCCTCCGTGATTGGGCGAGGAAATATTCGTTGGCGGACGAAAATGGAAAACTTGGTTCCTTTTGATCCTTGGATCCTCGAGGCCGAGATCTTTAATTAATACTTCTTTCGAAGAAGAAGGAGAGAAGGAGAGAAGGAAGAGCGCGTGGAGGACACGTCCTCCTGGCTCGTTGACGAACGAACGAACGAAGGAACGAAGGAGGAGAGATTATACAGGGTGATTTGCTCTCGAGGTGAATTTTTTCGCGCCTCGAAGATGATAAGCATGCTCGATTTGCTCGAGAATTCCAACGACGGAGGGAATGGAGTTGGATAACCGGGAATTTATAGTGTTTTCATCGAGTGGGAAGTTGGAACGAGCCAAGTTGCATGTCTGTAATAAAGTAAAACGGGAGCAGATATAAAAGGGGTTGATGAAGGAGAGGGGAGGTTGCGGATGAAAATGAGAGGAATTTGTTTCGCGTAATTGCGTATTAGAACTTTCTAAACGTTCTCCCCGTATTTTACACGGGTTATAATCATCGTTTCGATGAAGATATTTCCATTTTTTTTTTTACCTCGTTTATCTTCTCTACGGTTGTTGGACATTGGTAAAAAAGATGTGTTCTTCGCGATCCAGATTGCGTGGAAGAATCAGATTCGAAGGAAATTATGCTTTTATTGATATCTATAACGCGGGAGAGATTTCTCGTTAAAAAATTAAAAAATAAAATTCCATCGATATTCTTCTTTTATACTTCTTCAGGTACTGGTATATTCAGATTTCTTTTCGATCGAATTTTTCCTTCGGCTAAAAAATTCCTCCTGTTTTTTATCTCCAAATTTTTTTTAATCGCGTCGCATGATTGTTTTTTATCCTCGTTCTTTAATTTTTCCGCACAAAAATATTCGTACGGAAAATATAATACGCAATACGAATCTATCCTTCGTTCCATTTCGATTGTAAAATCAAAACAAAACAAAACAAAATTCCCTTGTTACGATATTACAACGATATAAACACTCCCCACTCGTTTCCATCTCCAAGCGAATTTGTTATTGTCGAGTCGAATCGACAATAATAAGTCGAGTCCTCGCTCGACTTTCGGGCACAGTTTCGTGTCACGAGACGCGAGGAACGGTTCGATTGTTAATTAACGGGCGAAAAACCGTGGGGGGGAGGGAAAAAAGAAGAAAGGAAGAAGCGACGACGATTCGACGGATGCGGGACGGGAATCGGTGGTCGAATCGCCAGGAAAATCGATAATAACACGGTGCACGATGCGTGGGGGGAGGGGAGCCGACATCAAAGGGTGGCGAAGAAGGATTCAAATTCGCAATCAACGCGGGGCGAAATGACCGTACGCGTTACGCGTACGCGCGGATGAATCGCTTCTGTATCGAGCCCGTTTCACACGCCTAGGCCGCCTTTATATTCGCTGTATCTCTCGCATAGAGAAAACCCGTTCCAAACTCCCCTAATTCCACGTCAGAGGAGTTTAATTCGCGCTTAAGTTCTTCGTGACGCGAATATCACCGGACCACCACCGTCGTCGTCGTCGTCGTCGTCGTCGTTTTCGAAAACTCGAAGATAGTTTACGAAAGGCTGTTCCTCCCCGACGTAATCGAGATCGGGAACGAACAAGTGTCAGCTTCCAATTAAGCGTTCATCTTATTTTATTCTTTCACCGTCTTCACCGGGGAGGAAGAAGGGATCTTTGAAAGACTATCCTCAAAGAGACGAGGGGTAAGGATAAAATTTTTCCAAACTAGATGTCTTTCACGAACGTACACTCTCTCGATACACTTTTATACAGTATATATTTCTTTCGTTTTTTTTCTCCTTTTTCCTTTTTCTTAACTTGCGCTGAAAGACTCTTACTCTTCGTCGCCTCCTCGTCTCGCTCTTGTTTATGTAGTCAAATTCTCTTTCTCGAGCAAGACCTCTCTCCCTCCCTCTCCTGTCTCTCTCACTCTCTCGATAAAGTCAATCCGGAGTGAATGGTCGATTATCGCGGAATTTTGCGGCCGGTTAAAGCGGAAAATCGCGGTAAACATCGCGATTTCGATCGGTAGGAGAAGAGGTAGGGAGAGGGGGAGGAGGGGCACACGATAAATTGGAGTCGTTAGACGGAAACACGAATTTGCGTTTCCGGCCTGCCACGTTTTCCCAACCGTACTTTCGCAACTTTCTCGCTCTCGTCTGGCGCGTCGCATCAATCACGATCGTTATCGTGCCGCGAAATTGTGCCGGCCTGCCTTTGGAACGGGCTCGCGGAAATTCTCGCACTCGTGTTGATAAATCGCGTCCAACACGAGTCGGCTGATCGATTCCGCCAACCTGTTTTCTGCGCCCGATCCGGAAGTGTCTAGAGAAATACAAGGGAGGAAGAGGGAATCCAGATAAACGAGAATTCAGATTTTCGCGTTTCCATCCTTCTTTGTTAATTTTTTGGTCGGAGGGGATATTCGATTGTGTAATAAAAGATTGGAATTGTTGTGAATTGTTATTTGGTTTCGAACAGTGCTCGATATTCAAATCAACGAGAGATTATCGTTACGTGCAAGAAGAAGGACAATCGTTTAGCTTAACGTTCATCCTCCTTGCATCCAACGGTACAATTACAATTCCATCGAATCTTTTCAACTCTCAAGAATTCTCTCCTTACATCGACTCTCGATCTGCATATTGCGCACGAAAGCCACGAGATTTTAACTTTCGAAAAGAATAATTTCCGTGATATCCCAAGCTTACTTGCTCCAATAATCCAATACAGAAATGAGAGTTCGAAGATGGCGTGGTTGTTGGTTTCCGCCAACAGGTGTCGAACGATAATTGGCGAAACGATAGAGCGCAGTAGAGATGCGTTTCGAAGATGCAGATGTTTCGATTGGGACGAAAAGAGAGCGCGTGGATGATCGAGAGGGATGAAGGCTGCTGCTGGAACGTCGAAAAAGAAGAAGAAGAGGAGGAGAAGGAAAAAATGGGCGTGTGCGTTAGACGAGCAAAAGGAATACGAGAAGATCGGTTGCTCGGTGGTTGGAAAGGTGAGACGATGGAGCACGGCACAGGTAGAGAAGGAAGATGAGCCACGGGGAGAGACACGTGGAGCGAGAAGGGGAGGGAGAAGAAGATGGAAGGAGGAGGAGCAACACGGCCCTCGGACGACCTAATGAGCTCTCCGAGCCCCGGACTAAAATAATTATAGAAATTTCCTGCCGATGAACGAACCACCTTAAGAAAGATTGCCTCCCATTAATAAGCCACGAACGGTATTTGCCTCCAGAATTATAATCAGCTCGCCGTCCGTATAACAGGCCGCTCGTCTTTCCGTGAAACTCGCGCGAGGGATCGACAAGATGACGAGATGAATTTGGTTCGGATTAATAGATTTGGTTTGGAGCGAAGAGGAAAGGAGAAAAGTATATTTTCTTTCGTTGGTTTTCTTTTCGGTTCTGCATACTCGAAGCGAAGGGAGGATGTTAAATAATAATTAAACGCGATAATAAAAATTAAAGAGGTGTGGATATTGATTTTTGACAGGCGTACAAAGGAAAACGGTAACGAAATTTAATAAAAATGTGTAAATAAAATCGATACACTGGATCAGTTGATAATACAAAAATCGGTGGACGAGAAAATTAACGTATATTCTGGAAATGCTTCCTCTGATAGATAGATAGATAGATCGAACGACGAGTGGTTTTACGGGTAAAAAAAAAAAAACTTCGAAGAAGAACGGTGAAATAGCTTAAAGGAATATTAAATTGCGAGGAAGTAAAAGTATCCAGTGTCGGGAGGAAGTAGTTTGTACGAATAAAAAGGGAAAAAGAGGGGTGGTTCTTCTCTCGGGTCGTAGTAGATTCGTGGATGGACCAGATTTCCCAGATTCTTATCGCTGCTTTTCATCTCGAATTACTTTGAAACTTACGTAAACTTGAAATAGATCGAATGTATCGATTCGTTCTCGGCGCGATAAATTGTTGAAATTTCAAAGTGAACGGGGAGGGAGAAGGAAAAAAAGAACAACGACACAGGAAATGGGGAAAATGAAAAATTCGATATAAAACTCGCGCGAAAACTCGGGCGGATTTTTTAATCGCGTTAAAATCGGCGTTAATAGAGCGCGATTTGAGGGGAGGGAAATGAAAAGGTCGCAATTACGAGATGAGTGCGCAGATTTTTGGCTGTAATTAATTACCGCGCCGGTTTATTTATCCGCGGCAGCGCGATAATTTTCTCCCGACAATTTATCGAAATCCCGCCGATAAATACCGGCCTTCTCGATTAATCGAGCCGACACGTTCGCTCAGGCGTCGCGCGATTAAATATTTTTCCTAATTGTGATGATGGTAGTATACCATCCTCTCTCTCTCTCTCTCTCGAGATAATCGGGGAATTTGACATCTCGGGTCAGAAATTCTAATTGCGAAAATCAAGTTCCAACCGTGTTTGATATTTGTTCAACGAAACTTGGAATCATTTCCTTACCCCCTTGCCCTGATCTTTAATCCGGTCGAGCTAAAACAAACGCAGCCTCCAATTTATTCCTCTCGAACCGAGAATCACCGCAAACTCCACCCTTCTCGCTACCCAATCGTCTAATCTGCCTCTCCATTACCTATCCATCCATATTTAGCGACTTACCCTTTCTCTATGTATCTCGTCTATATAGAACACGTCTACACTATACATATAATAGAGATTCTAGAGATCGAAATAATCGTAAAAGTTATTGTATTGTACAATAAAGAATATTTATATTTTGATATCCTGTAAAACAATTGTAATATCAACGCTCGTACGTGTATAAGAAGACGCGTATAAGAAAATTAAATACCTGCAAAAACTGTTCCTTTCTTAGAAATAGAAGAAAACACGCGACGTGTATATTTATAAATATACTTTTTCATATTGATCAACTTTTACGTTTGTTTCTAAAGTCGTTCTGAAAAGTATCCTACGAAAATATATACGAATATTTACAACGCGATTCGTTTCGAAGAAAATAAAATATTTCAACGCCTTATTCAAATTTCGTTCGATAATCTGGAAGGGTTAATGATTCGCGAGGGAGAGACTCTGATGAAAGTGGGAGCGCGACGAACAAGTCGAGGTTAAGCGAGCCGCGAAGCGTATCGATTGTCGACGAGATCATTTTTCATTGGCGAGGCGAGAAATCGGGCTGCTCGAGACGTGGAAAAGATTCGCGAGACGCGTGTTGGTCCCTTCGATTTGCATATGAAAGCCACGGTTTTCTGGCCAGCATCGACTCTCTCTTTTTCTCTCTCGATTGGCTCTCGGTTCGAGAGGATTCTTCTCCTTTTCGCCGCGAAGGAAGACGATGGCGGCGTTGTCTAGGCAGGTTTCGCGTGGTGAACAACGAGGGAGCGCTCAATGGCTGTACCTCTTCTCGAGAGGCTGAAAAAGGAGACGGTGGAATTCTTGGGATAGAGCGCGTTTGCCTAGCGGCGCCATTTGCATGTGCAACTGGATGTTGGAACGATGCTCTCGGTGTCGTTTGATGTCGATTCTTGGCGATTGCGCGAGATTTCCTCGCGTTCCACCGAGTTTTGTAATGCGAAGGTGGCGCGTACTGGATAAGGATCGGTAGAATTTGAGAATGGAATAAAGCAAAAAGCATTTCTCAAGTGGATATTTTTTCGGGATTAAAAGAGGACTCGCCGAGGCTGAGTTTGAATAATAAACGGCTGGGATAGAACTATGTGTCACGTGGCTTTCCGTGTATCTATCCATCTAATTTATATTTCAAGAAGGAAAGAGGAAGAGATTTATAGAATAAAAGTTGCGTATATCTGGTCGAGAGGAAGTAGGAAGTCGAACAGGATGGGATGACGATCACTTTCAAAGGAGAGGGTTTTTCATGTTTCTTTCGAACCACAGCGAATAAATTTATCCTCGATGCACCTGAAAGGGGGGGTGGAAACTTGGAAGGGAGTGGCAAAGGAAAAGTGGGTCACCAAGTTTCTCGAAACGAAGGGTGGCGAAGCAACGGCCGAGTCAAAGTCCACAAAAATTATTTCGATACTTAGATTCTCCTCTTCTCTCCTCTCTTCTCCTCTTCTCTTTTCTATTTTTCGGATAAATATTACACGCACTTGGTAATTGGCCCAAAATTACGTCCAACCAGATGGACATTAAGATCGAACTGCACGCGATCAAGAGGAAGAGAAAAAACAAAAAGAGAAGGTTCTCTTCTCGAGAAGAAGGAAAAGAAAAGATTCCTAAAGAGAGAAAGAAGGAAAACGAAAGAGGAACAAAAGATAGAAAAGAGGAGAGATTTTGACGAAGGAAGAAAAATGTATAGAAGAAAGTTTTTACTTCGAGGAGGAAGAAAAGGGAAGAAGGAAAAAAAAAAAAAAAGAAAAAGAGTAGAAGAAACGTTGATTCGAAGTAAAGAGGGAGAAGAATAGACTCGTCTTTTTGTTTCTTCCCCTCCTTCGAAAAAAAGAAAGACGAGATAAAGAAGGATCGTTGGCGGCTCAATAAGGGTTGAACAAAAACGAGAAGATGGTCGGGCGTAAACGCGATTTAACGGTGTTACATAGTCAGAATACACCGTTGTCCCGGGGTACAATGCCGCGTAATTTCTCGTAATAGGTCGGTGGAACGGCGTAAACGACGTGATCTATGGCTCCTCGTGGAAGGCTGACGCTCGTCGCCGACTCGCGAATCGATTAAACGCGCCTGTTTTGCCACGCGCACGCCTCATTTCACGCGTCGTAACGAACCACGCCAAGAATCGGTGATATATCTCTCCACATTTTTAAGAGTTTCTCCGTGGAATCGCGTCACGGAGAAAAACCCCCCTGCGTCGTCGATCTCTTATGCCTTTCTCTTATTCATCTCGAGAAAGGGATAAGTAATCTCCAAGTTACTTATTTACTCACTCACGTTTCCTTGTTTCCACGAGAAAGAAATCCTCTAGTAAGATTCTTCGTTTTCATTCTCCTTCCTCCTCCTCCACACTCGTGCTCCGTTCTTACATTAGTCATTCGGCCGTCCGAATTCGAGCCGACCGAATTAGAAACCGAGGTCGGCGTGGCAAAAACTCGTATCTTCATCCGTTTGACGAAATAAACGGGCCACAGCCTTCGTGGCTGCTCCTCGCCGATCCTTGGTCAAAGCTAGGACCCCGGTCTCGTCGGGTATAATTACGGAATTTATCAGGGAGGAGGGAAGAAGCAGTTGTTCCCTCGATTCCTCTCGAGAGGGGACGAGGAAAGAAAATGGAGACGTTGACAAAAGGCGTTGGAAAGAAAGAGGGTCATCAGGGAATATGAAATTCCTGCATTATCAAGGTCAAACGTTGGAGGAACGTGACTTGGAACGGAGCTGTTAGCCACGTCACGCACGACTGGCCATGATAACCGACGACACTCGACGTTCTCGGAAGCATCCTTGGATACGCCAGGGGGCCAACGCCATCGGCTTCGAGGATGCAGACGGAAAGAAGAGAGAGAGATTATCCGCTTTCTCGTGCAGACCACGTCGGGCAAAAAACGATTAAGCTCCGGTCATCGACATTCCGGGGCGCAAGGCGGAACGCGCGGCTGATATCGTTTGATATCGTAAAATAAATCGAGCTTAAGTGATATCGAGTACTACGGGGACTACTCGTCCTCTTTCGTTCCATTCGATCCTGCAATCTCTCCAACTCTGGAATCACGAATTTCTACGAATTTCGATCGAGTCACTTTCTCGTTCTCTTTCGCTTTTTTTTTTATTCTCTTGCGCGCATCACGTGGCCCGGACAACGGCTGACGCTCGCAATTCGTTTTACTCAATTTCATCCGGCCGCTCGGCAATTATTTACACTGGTTAATCGACAATTTCACGCGTAATTACGTTTTAATTTTGAATA